CAATAGCACATTTTTAATGCCCTTTTCTGACCATTTACTCTTGAAATACGCATAGATATGATGTCAAGTCTCTTCGATAATGTCAATTTAAATATATTTAGTAAAGCAACCAGATACATTTCAGAAACAAAGGAAGGAATAATGGATCGATTTGATGATTTCTGGTGCATAAGAATTATTATTGGAATAGCATCATGAGTGGGTCTTAGGAGGAAAGATAAATAAAAAAAAATGGCATTGGATTCAAAGAAAAAGAGTACAGTTTGCAATAAAGACATTGGCTGTCAGTAAACTAAATGCATAATATGGCAATCAATTTCCATTCCAGCTGTTCCCAGATTCACTGATACCATAAATATGTGCTGCATTTTCTATAAAGGCAAGACTCGAATGAAAGCTCCAAGATTTTGAATATAATTTAGTAAATAGCCTCTCTTCCAAATACTATTACTTAAATTTGGAGGGTGAAGCTTAAAAAATTGATGTGCAATTCAAGTAATATAATAATAATGCAATTCGACTGTTACTGTACTTCATTTTATTCTAAATGGTTTTAATTAACTGTATTTTATTCTCATCATAATTTTTAGTTTTTATTCTAAACTGTTTTAATTATTCTGATTTCTTTTGATTATTTTAATTTCTTCTATGTAAAGCACTTTGAACTGCCATTGTGTATGAAATGTGCTATATAAATAAACTTGCCTTGCCTAATATGAGATCAAAAGCATGCTTTCAATTTAGTGTGAAGGAGATGTTGACCCTGTGAGAGTTGCAGAGCTCTGAAGCTCTCTCACCTGCAAACATTATCAGCCATCACCACACACTCCCAAATTCAAAAGGGAATTTAGTGTGAGAACAGAAGCATAGGAAGAACTGTGCGCTTAACTGAGAAACAATGAGCTTTCTAGTGGGCACGAACTAAGCGCCCCCATTGGATCTGACGTCACCAAGGGCCTCTCTCGATAGGCTGCTGCAGTTTCGAGCCGTCTTGCCTATGTCTGCATGCTGCCGCAACACGTTGTACATTAATTCAAAATTAAGGATAATTTTTGGCTTCAATATCTCGTGAGAAAGAGGTTTTCCCCTAGCGTAAGATATTACACAGTACCTAATGGCTTCATACATCAATGACTTGTTTGATGCCACTTGGTTTGATATTTTATATATAATACAGTAATATTCATATTAAGGGCTGCTAATTATAATCTTAATACTCCAAAAGTGTCAAAAAATTTGAGACACTATAAAGGCCAACACCTTGCGCCAGCGCAAAAACTCTTTGTATTTTACTAGAAAGCAAGACAAACTGCCGGCACAGAAGAAAATCAGTGTTGCTTTAGAAAATGAAAGCTTTCCACATCTATTAGTTCTCCATATGAGAGAAACTTTGAAAATTTTAAATTTAATTGGTTTAATGGGCTGCTATATCTCGACTGGATGTCATGGATTTCCGTGCATAGGCTACTTACTTTTCAACTTGATGTTAATGGTCTGTTAAGCTGATCCTATTGCTTTTTATTGGCTGTGGTGAACATGCACTGTTTATTGAGTCTTGTTGTTCAATGTTTATGATTTATCTTGTCTTGTAGTTCACTTAAACATGAGAATTATGCATTTGTGATTCTTTTTGAGAAAACATGCACCCATCAATGCGGTTGTTTTCATTTCATTTTTTTCTTGATATGGAATGAATGATTATTCAATGACAAGATATTTTTGTGGGCAGTTAGGGTTCTGATTAATAGTGCCCTATCAGAAATAAAGAGAAAAGACACCACTGGCTTATTTAGGCTATGCAAATAACTGAAAACAGTCTTTATATCTACTCTGTAACAGTTGGAATGGGCCTGCAGAGGGTATCTACAGAATATAGAGCTTCATTTTGGGCCCCGCAGAGGCAAGTCCCGTTGTGAGACCTCAGATGTTCGAGCTAGTAAAAATGAATTGAGTGAGAATGTACTATCTCAGCCAGACAGTCATAACTGGTAAAATAAATAAATAATTTTAATCTCTGCCAGGCAGAAGAACACAGTTCATTTTTGGTACAGTCTATCAATTCAGAATCTTTTGTTTGATAGTACCGTGTCGTTGAAATGTTTTGGCATCTTGAAACACACAAATGTGTGAGCAGAACTCCATAACTAAAAATCAAGTTTTTTCACTTGATATCGGAAAAGTATGTTTCATAAGCATCTGAAAGATGACAGAGCTATGCGTAAAATTATAAACTAATGAATAATTAGCAGAGGTTTAACAGCCGGTATGACTCACACTTGCATTTTTGGGGATATTCAAATGAAATGACCCATCATACCATTGATCAGCTCAACCAATCTTGATTGTCTTTTCTCATGAATAAACAAACACTGTTATGTTGTCTTGATTGATACTGTGAAGCAGCTTTGATACAATCTGTATTGTGAAAAGCGCTATATAAATATATTTGACTTGACTTGAAACCCTGTCATAAAGCACCGTTTAACATGCAAGTCATATTTTTGAGTGATGATGATGGAAAAAACTGGCATTCACATGAGGATAAAACACTCCTAATGCCAGAATGCATTTTTAGAAGGCCATAAAACAAATGGCGCCGTAAAGGGACACTTTATTTGACAGAAGTCCTCTGTGTTTAGCATTTTATAGCAGTTTTGGCCTAATGGTCGTAATATCTTTTTTAATATCTTGATATATTAGCCACATATCTATATAATAGCTATATATGTTTTGTGATCCAATCAATATTATAATGCATGTGCAAATTTAAAGAGCCCCTATCATGGATTTTTGAAAATGACTGTTCATATGGTGTTGAATATAGCTCTAAGTGAATGAAAACATCCTGCAAAGATTTATATCTGAAAGTGCACCGTATATAAAGTTATTGTAAGTGAGAGTCGACTCTGAGTCTATGAAATGAATTGTTTTTGAAACGAGTCATTAGCTGGTTCGTCGTGAGGTAGATACATACTGGACAGTTACTGCGCGCGCAGACGGAAGTATAAACTTGAAGTCTACATATTCAAATACTTCATCATAGCATCATGTCGAGAGGACGCTGTGTTCTACAATGCAAAGATAGTTCAGCCACTTTGTTTTCATTTACCAGGGACGAGCATGTGAAGAATCGGTGGTTAGAGTTCATATTTGCAACGATACCACAACAGTATAGCCCGATTGTGTTCTCATCATTTTATTGACGAATAACGTTCAAAAACATCAATGAATTCAAATGTGGATTCGCAAGCGGTTGTTCCTGAAGGAGGGCTCAGTAACTTACTTACCCAGTGTATATGGATCAGCTTCCTCCTTCGAATCACAACCTGTAAGTATTATTAATAATTGTTGCTTTTATGGGTTTTGAACGGTTTTGTAGCGTCGGGTGCGAGGAGGGAAGGCACGATAAGTATGTGTGTGCGCGCGTGTGTGTGTGTGTGTAAGTTACGCTCAGCGCAGCTTCTAGGTCTCCAATGTCAATTTTTTTTTAAATATGTGAAATGTTTGTCGCTGTTACTGGAGTTGTCATAAAGAATAGAGCGTCTTGTAGTACTGCAGTGCTTTATCAATATGTTTATGCGTTGGGCTAACAAACAATAACTGACTGGGTCATCTGACCAATCACCGCCGATTAGCGTCACGCAAAGGAGTGGTTTGGAAAAATGAGTCGTTGTACGAATCATTTGGGAGTCGCTGAGCAAATCAGTTCAAAATAAATGCAAATTATAAGACAAATAAAGTGTTTTTTATCCTTGCATGCATGTTAAACTGTTTTTGGGAACTCCTAAAACAAAAATAGGAACATTTCAAATGCGATGATAGGGGCTCTTTAAGGGATTTTTAGAGATCTATAGGGCCAGATGTAGTAAACAGGACAAATTAGCATGATACTACAATCTCATAAAAGTTCTGTGGGTGATCTAGTGGCAAAACTAAAGAACACAGACCCAGGTAGCTCATTTCCAGTATAACCAATGCAATCTACCAAGAGCAGCGCAACCATCACTGCCATATCAAGCACCAAATTGGTTAAGACATGATTTTGGGGCATTAAAAAATGGCACAAAAATACCAGTAACCTTACTACCACAAACCTTTATAACCCATGATTTGCATGATTTATTTAAAATCTCTGAACCCATACATTTTGCATCTAAAGGGAAAACTCCTAATTCATATGCCGCCACAAAAGTAACTGTCTGTCGCAATTTTTTCACTGCATGTCTGACCGTTTTTACATTTCCCAAAGCAAAACTGCAAGAAAAATTCGGAAAACAAACTCCACCAGTATAATGGTATTGCTCATCAGCTCATAACCATCTGAATTATGAATGAAGAATGCCACGGCCTACCTGAGCTTTGTTTCTGACCATGTCCATCCCTTTATGGCCACCATGTCCCCATCCTCTGATGGCTACTTCCAGCAGGATAATGCACCATGTCACAAAGCTCAAATCATTTCAAATTGGTTTCTTGAACATGTCAATGAGTTGACTGTACTAAAACGGCCCCCACAGTCACCAGATCTCAACCCAATAGAGCATCTTTGGGATGTGGTGGAGCCTGGATGTGCATCCCACAAATCTCCATCAACTGCAAGATGCTATCCTATCAATATGGGCCGACATTTCTAAAGAATTCTTTCAGCACCTTGTTGAATCAATGCCACGTTGAATTAAGGCGAAAGGGGGTCAAACACAGTATTATTATGGTGTTCCTAATAATCCTTTAGGTGAGTGTACTTTTAAAGTGTTTTATCGATGGCCAGCAGATCTGTGAGATACTGCACTCATCTCCTTCTAAAGTGATCTAAAGTCTTCAGGGCTGAGATATTTTGGTTCATTGGATATTGTAAATTTAACAGTATCCATAAATGTAGGCGTCAACAGGAACTGGCGATACACAGCAGAAGTAAAACTGTAGAATGACTCAGAAGACATTGGCGGAAGACTTTAAGCAAATCCAATGTGCATTTTTACAGTTGATTAAATGATACTCACAGTCTCTGCAGTTGTGTATATTTGGAGAAGATGTGATCATCCAAAATCCTAATCCTATTGTTCTTCAGAGACCTGTACAATTATAAAGCATTGTATTACAAACAAATCCATTAGTCCAGGCAAAATAGCCCATTTTGGAGCCAAAAATAGAACTAATTGTAAAAGAATTTTTTTTCAGCATAGATCATTTCTATGAGGTGTCCAGAACAACATACTAAAAGTCCTAAGAAATCCTAGTTGAGGAAATATGTTTAATTCGCATCAATCCGAGATGTGTGCCAGAAAGGCCAGACAACAATACACCCCAATGGGGCTATTTTTTTTCCTTTACTCCTATCAAAATAAAACTTTATACAATGAAAGTATCCATGAAAAGTAACAAATTTTGTATTACAAGTTTCTTTGAAAATGAATTTTATTATGCAAATGAGCTATACACTAATCGAATATACCCAAAATACACCCAAATAGGCTTAATTGTTTCCTTTACTCCTACCACAATAAAACTTTACACAATGAAAGTCAACAAGAAAAGTAAAACATTTTGTATTAGAAGTTTTCAAATTTGAAGTTTTCAAAATTCTTTTACAATTAGTCTGTCGTAAAACGCTACTTTGCCTGGACTACATATTATTATCAGAAAATAGTAGGCAATCACAGGCATTGTTGGTCTAAAAAATATAAAATTATGTCATCATTTACTTGACTAATAATGTTTTTCAAAACTGTCATTTCCTAGTAATATGATATTTTTGTGTGTAGACCAATTTGTAAATTATTAGTTATTGAAAATCCATCCGGTTCATTCTTTTCATTTTGAGCGTATTTGAACCTACAATACTTTGTTTGTCTAGCAAAGAAAGAAAAAAAAAAACCCTGGACTGTCACAGTTGGGTTGCAGAAACAAGATTTAAATAAAAGCTGGATTCAAGTGCAATGGTCCAGTTTTTTAAACACAAAGAAACTAAGCACACTTGAAAAACCCATACACTGATTAGAACAGACAACTGAAAAAAAAAAAAAAACCCAGAGCTGAAATAGACCAAACTATTCAAGGAAATCAACATCAGGTGCTAATCAATCAGAAACCTATGACACGAATCAAGAGCGGAACAGAAAACAGAGCTAAACCAACTCATAGTAACACAAATAGGGATAGCATCAGATTGCTGGCATGGACATTTTAAGTATCTACTTTGGTGTGCACAGAAAAAAAAAGCACAGGCTTCGAAAGATATGAGGGTAATTTGAAAGCAAATGATGAACAGAATCCCTTTAAGGAGTACTTTTATTCCACAAAGACGAAACAATGTGGATAAATTATTGGATACAACTTTCGTGACCACTGATATTCATTATCTAACATTCCTTCATTTTCCAAAAACATCCACAGAATCCAAAAGATCATTTCCAGAATCCTTTTTCCAAAAATCATAAATTATAAATTATCTTTAAATACCTCTTCCACCCTGTATATCTCAATATCTTCAAAGGATCATAATACAAGTATAAAAGCACAACTATAGCTCATGTAGAGAAAACAACTGAAACAACCAAACAAAACAAAACCCTACCTTTAGGCAATGCACATCATTCTTCTTTCTTTTGGGAACTGTTCAGAACAAAGGAGCTCTTTTTCTCGTTTAGCTTAATAATTCAGTGCTTTAAAGCTCTGCCTCACTGATGTGAAATCTGTAGTCCTCATCACCAGCTACAGATTAATAGCAAGTTGGCTCCCAGTTTGATGTACTTACAACCAAGTCACATTGGAGGGGAAGACGGGCACGACATAAAGGTTCTTGTCCACACATTCCACCTCTGTCTTAATGCAATCACAGCTCTCTGGGTACTCCTTCAGAACTGTAAAATATCAGCATAAACACACATAATGAACTCAGTTATTAAAGTAAATCTAGTACATAAAGCTGCAAAAAAATAAAAGCTTTGCCTACTTGTTCAGTTCTGTGTTCTACTATCAGAAACACATAAACTATGAATCATACATTATTTGATGATTTGCATTAATTAATTTTTTGTTCAAATTAGGCCTACACTGAGGAAAAATAGATTTTATGATAAAACATTTACCATTGCAGATCAATGACTAGAAATAGGACCAAATGGATAACATTTTTATCCCTTTTTTTCCTATTTCTAGTAATTGATTATCGTGCTCAGTCCCCTCACCCTCTTTAAAATATTACCATTTTTTCAACCCATAACGTTATTTAAAGGGGCACAATTGCTCATTTATGCTCATTTACACATTCATCATTTTGTTAATGGGGTCTACTTACATCATTTAATGTTTAAATAATTCTTTTATAATAATCTACATGGTTGCAGCACCTGTTTTCACCAAGAATTTTGGATTCTTTAAAGCCCGCCCCCCTGAAAAACACAATCTACCCTGATTGGTCAGCCGGCCCCAGTCTGTTTTGAATGGTCTATCGCTTAGAGCGTTTGCTGGAAATGTAATGTCCCTAACCATAATCAGCGAGAATCATATTCGTTTCCTAAAAGGGTCATGAACTAGCTTTTTAAATTTAATTATATTGTTGTCTGAAGTCAACTTATGACGTTCGTTTGGTTTTTGCATTCAAAAACATCAAAATGAATAAGCTATTTTCTACCCTAGTTTTGAGCTTAGCTCCAAAACGCTCGGTTTTCATGGGCGTCTCGCGCTGAAGACTCGGAAGTAAACGCCCATGGCTGTGAGTGGATAACAGTTTTGCATTTTATAATGAGTTTCAACTCACTCATCGGTGCACGTATTTGGCAATGTGTGTAATACGCGAATCAGTGGGCGGGGCTAAACCGGCCATGTTGATCTTCTTCTGCGGGGGTGGTGTTTTATCCTCTTAGTTGTCATAGTTCTCCACTTTGAAAAAACAGTCGTTTGCTGAGCCTGGTGTCAATAAAAGCTTTTATTGGACTAACAAGGACGTTTTCAGTTCTGAAACTTACAGGATATTACACTTTTAACATGACGACCTCTTAGATGTCGAAAGCTCAAGGAAAATTGGATTTCTCAGTTCATCACCTCTTTAAAATACCCGGCTTTGTGTAAACGTGGCCTTGGTGTCTGTTGCATAAACATAGCCACTTATGAAGTCCAACGCTATCTCACGACCAATTCGTACAAATTTGTACGAGTGATTAAAAGGTGGCTGATTCGTAAGAATTCGTCCGACCTCACTCGTACGAATTTGTACGATTTGTCTAAACACACGTGATGGGTAGGTCATTCGTACGCATTCATACGAATTGGCCAAAACGTAAAATATGTACGATTTAGCAAAAATCGTACGAGTGAGGTCATACAAAATGTTACGAATTAGCCACCTCGTAAAATGATAAAAATTCGGGTTGAATAGACTGACCAATAGGCAATTAGTTAGTGTTAATCAGTTTACTTAAGATTCAAATAAGGCCGACTTTCGAAAAATTATGACCCGTCTTGAAAAAAAAATACTGCTAATTTCTGTGGTTATGTTTATGGGGTTGGATTTAAGGGATGTAGAAAATAGTCATGTAGAATGTAGTGCCTTATAAGTATGAATAAACAGCCAATAATATGCTAGTTGATAAGCAACTAATTAGTGCATATAGCTAATTTTAAGTGTTTTCAAAAGCATAGCAACAGTAAGTAATAGTTTTACTATGGTCCATGCCCACTTACCTGCCTTTCAACAAAACAGTTTTGGGACGATTACGAGGCAAATTGATACGTATGATCCATATTCATAAAAGTTTATAATGTTCCCCCCGTTCAGGTCATTACGAAGCTCCTGGCAGCTACATTAATTTCAAGGCCAAAAGACTTTGAAAGGTAATATATTTCCAACCAGATGCTTCTACAAGATCGTAAAACTCATGCAGATTTATGACGCATTACAGTAAAATGCTATGATGTAGTCTATAGCATTTCTGACTTTAAAAGCAACCAGTAGGACACTTCTTCAAAAAAAAAAAAAAAAAAAAAAAAAAGAATCGGAAAATCTGAGTCTGGCCCTCGCATGAAAATTGCATCAGAGGGATTTTGGACTAGATTTTTTGGATGCGCCTCAAGATAAGATCATTTATGCTAATCTTTGTATTCATATCTCTTCCGGGACACATACAGCAGTCATTGGGAAGGTCCTGTGGCTCTGCCTTTTTTATGGTGCGATAAAAAATATCCGCCCATCCGCTGTTGTCCCCTGCAAAAAGTAAAACAAGTTTTTGTGTGAGAAAGTGATATATAAAAATGATATTGGTCCCACTTTATATTAAGTGGCTTTACGTACTATGTACTTACTTTGTACATTGAACAATAAGTACAATGTATTATTGTGTTCCTGTTGTATTGTAAAACACTTTTGCTGCTATTGAGGTATGATACGGGTAAGGGACAGGTGTGGTGGTATGGGTCGGTTTAAGGGTAGGTTAAGGTGTGAGGGAAGGGTCAACTGTGTAATTACAAATGTAATTACATAAAGTAATTATAGCTGTAATTACATGCTGGTATTTTTCAAATATAAGTACAATGTAAAAACATGTATGTACACAATAAGTCCACTGTATCAAATTATTAATTTCAATGTAAGTATATAGTACTTAAAGCCACTTAATATAAAGTGGGACCATGATATTTAATGACCTAAGAAAGATGTCAGGATTTCTCCCGGCAGAAAAACTGATAACATCAAAATTGAATAAACATCAGTTCCTAAAGCATAAAATTTACTTCTAAGTCTGAACTTCACATTTCCAGCCTATTTTAAATGGATGAAATGCTTTAGAACTGAGAACGGCATTAAAGGGAAAAATACAAATATATGCCTCACCGCAGTGTTCCTCATCTGCTCCGTTTTTGCAGTCTCTGTGGCCATTACACTGAAGGACCTGCGGCAAACACACACTCATGTTCCCACAAGGGAACTGGCCAAGAGGGCAACCATCTGCCATCGCCCTGCTAGCCATCATCGGTGCTGCTGGCGGCAAAGAGAAGACGGCGGAAGGAGGGAGAGAAGGGAAAGTTAGAAAAGTACAAAAAGGAAAAGTCCTTTAAATCACTGCAGTACTTTGTGCTTCCATCAGGGCAAAGTAAATGACTGGAAGCCCTCCAGCAGGGTGACATGAAAAGCACAAGCTAATGCGGATGAATGTGCACCAAAACACACAGCAGAGTTCGATTGAGTTTGACAAAAGATATAAAGAGAGCATCTTTTGCATATTTATTTGACCATCATAAAAATGCTCGATAACGGCTGCAGTAAATATATGCAGTGACGTGAAAAGGACTCGCACACGGCGCATGATGACAATGCTGTATTTTTTAACCGGAAAATATGACGTTTACGAAGACAGGGTTCCCTGTGGCACGCGGTTATTCTTCTTTCCATCTGACATGACAAAGAGAGGTGACAGGCCAGAATACTCAAACAAAAAGCTCTGCACGAAGGCTTTTGCGCAATAAAAAATAACTCTCCGACAGCTTCATACTGCATAATAAATTTATGTTTGTGTGTTTTTTTTATCATCTCTCTCCAATAGGGATCGACCGATATGGATTTTTTAGTGCCGATACCGATACCGATTTTTTTCCCATCAGCCTTGGCCGATGACCGATACGGGCTGCCGATTTTCTTGAGCCGATATTTGGAGCCGATACATTTTGCTCCCTCAATTTACATCTTAAAAATAACATGATGTTAACAAATGTTACAGGTCTCAATTTAATAAAAGTAACATTTAACTAACTTCAAAAATTAATATTTAACAAATAGTAAAAACATGTGAGGTAGAACAAGAACAAGTAGATAAACAATTTAAAAAATATGAAAAACATGAAGTAGAACAAAAAAAGTTCAGTGCTGAAAATGAATATTTAAACATAAATTAAATAATTACACTATTGCACAGAGTAGCAACCAGCATAATAAAGTGCACAGTGCACACTGTACTTCATTTTAAAAGAAACGAACTACGTACTGCATGGTTTCAATTTTCCTACATAAAATAAAATGAGCATGTCTAGTCTCTAATATTAGCCTACTGCGATTGCGAGGGAGACAAACTCCACACGCCCCAAACCTCAGCCAGGTGAGCGCTGAATAAATCTCCCACAAAAAGCACAGAATAACGTTGGCATTCCTTAATCCTATGACCAGAGTTCGTTACCGTATGCATACTATGGCTGTCAAAATTGCTCAAATGGCGTTTGCATATTCCCTCTAAAAAACATATTCGAACATCCCGTTGCGCGTTTTGTTGTTGACGCGCATTACATCAATAACAGGACACATTAATAAAAAGAGACATAACTACTAGTATTAGATGGTTTATTTGAGTTTAAACATATTTGACAACGTATTAAAAAGCAAGTAAATCAACTAATGGCCAAGACCGCAGAGCTCACTCTGTCTCGCCCTGGACTCGCTCAGGCACTCTCTCTCTCTCTCGCCCTCACGGTCTCTGCGCGTCGGTTAAATGAACAACAAACAAATGTTGAGTGCTAAACACGAGTTTTGTGCAAGCAATTTAAGGTTGCGAGTCGCGACTCTTGTCCCAAATATAGCAGGCTTCAGTTCATTCAGTGATTGAAGTTTCACAGTATAGAACCGACAGTGAGCGCTCCGAGCGACCTGTGCAGCTGTAGTAACGTTATTAGTCTGCAACCGCGGGCGTGTTTTTCCACATTCAAATATTAATTTTCACCTTCAAAATTAATAGATATTTGAATGTAGAATATTCATAGACAGTCCTAATGCATACTGAACGGATAACCTACACCTTAACTATTTGCAGCTTCTTAATACAATGGCAAGCAGTTAAGTTTTATAGACGAGGCATTCGCGTTTTCCATTTGGACCCACAAACTTGCTTAGTTGCAAGCACATAACAGTTATAGGGCGATGTGTTTCCATTTTCAAAGTGTTTGACAATATTTCAGGAGTCAAACATTTAAAAGATCCTTTGAAAGTTTAAGTTACCATTCTCGTGAAGAGCAGGTTGCACTCTGCTAGTGGAGGAGGGCGGGGCACGTGAACTGCAGCATCTCCAGCAGCACGGAGCTGCCCGTGGCCGCCTGTCTATAAATAACGGCGGGGGGAAAAAAACTATCGGCGAACGGGCAGCGGTGTATCGGCCGATTCCGATACACGTAAAAACCTCCAATATCGGCCCGATATATCGGCCGGCCGATATATCGGTCGATCACTACTCTCCAACACTCATTACTAAGTGGATTTGTAATAAATTGTGGAGAGGCTCTCCCATCAGAGTGCTTTATCATAAAACATGGCCTTGTCTTTAACAACCTTGTATACGAGAAATACGCTGATCTGTTTGAGGTTATTTGTCACCATTTGCCTGTATGTCACATTGGGCATCAGTGAATCAAATGATTTAACTAGCCACTGAAATGACAACTGATAGGTATATGCAGCTTAGAAAAAAAAAAAAATTTATATTATTGGTTTATACAACAACCAGTGATGGGTATATACAGCTTCTGCATAAAACTGACCACTACTGAAACATGTGGTATTCCATATCATACCATTTTCACAGCCACCTCAAAAAAACGAATTACACTTAATTATTAGTCGTTAAACTAATGTAAATTGTTAAAAAAAAATGTAAAAAAAAAAAAACGGATGTGACCCATGTATTGGATGAAGATGGCGTGTGAAGAAGGTGACAAGGTGCATGGCCTCAGAGAAAATATAAAGTTAATCTAAAGGCAAAGTCTTTCTGTTATATTTCGGAAAGTTTTTTTCTGGAACGCTTTAAATATATTGCATTGCAATGAAAAAAACAAAAACATTTTGGCTGCTTGCTCAAATAAATACATTTTGTCCAAACGTAATTTGATTGAGTTGAATCTGCTTAAATATATGTAAAATTAAAGTTTACTTAATCCGTTTGGGTTGCATTAACTTAAACTAGGCGGTGCTTGTTAGTTCCCAGCATATAGCTGAATTAAGAGAAAATAAATGTTGAAATAAAGTGTTTTTTATGTGTTTTTGAAAAAATGAGGAAAGGGGAAGACTTTATAGTGTGTACTTGTGTTTAATATTCAATTACATTGCAATTATTAGAACCATTTAAATTACAGTGGGTTACCGTTGTGGAGTAAAGTGAAGCATTTGGTTAGGATGTTGACTGATTTAAAGAAGCAAATCTCTTCTTGCTGAAAGAGCATATAAAATCTTAGCATTTAATATGTTGATAAGTGCTACAAGCTAATTAGTCTAGAAATTCAATCAAGATGTCATGTAAATCCAACAGACCTTCATTTTTCAGTGCTGTTTTAAATAAACTAAAGCTTGTTCACTAAACATAACTGATTTAAGTTACAGGGAAGCAATTCCATTGATTTGTTTGGACATTACTATTTACGTAGATTCAAAATAATTTGCTTGTGTGGAATAATTTTATTAAATTAGTTTAAAGAGGTTTTGTTTTTGAGTGAGTGTATTGATATTCACTTTGATAATAAAAAAGTAAACTAAATAACTGTTTTTTTCCCTTGAACCAAGCTTACTGCTCCAGTCTGCCTCCATTTATTTTGGCATTGAGAAAACTGTATAAAAATGCTTGCAGGCTTCCACAAATAAATTAATAAAAGAAATAGGCTTCAAGCATACTTGTGAATAAAAAGTCTCCATCAAGCAACCTCAAATCAGGAATGCCACAGGTACCATTGCTGGTAATGAAAAACAACTCCTCGAGGAGCAATGTTTCTATAGAGGTGTTTTAAAGTAATAACCCCAGCCGCCAGGGCTCAGAAACCTTTCCGTCCAACTGTGTTCGTCTGATTGGGCCAGTTCTCAGACTTCATTTGAATTTTATGATTCTAATTGTAAATGTATATTTGTAAATGTAAATTTAAAATGATTTTTATAACATCTTCACCACAAATATATTTTCAAATCATACACTTTCTTTAATCAGACAATTAGGTGAAATCCTCATTTACGTTAGCCATGGCATGTAGATAATTAAATAATGGTAGTGAAAACTTACAACAGTGAAAACATAATTTTTAAGCATATTTCTGAGAAGTGCATAAATCTCATAGTTTACAAGCAGTACTAATAGCACACTTGAATAGTTAACAGGGCTTACATGACTTTCTTTCCTCCATAAGCCTTCTAAAGCCCTATGATTGCTTTATGTGAGGAAAAGACCAGAAACTGTGATTCCAAACCAACACAAATCATTTTTTCATTTGTGAGCTCCGGCAAGAGTAAAGATAACAGTGAATAAAGACTTAAAATTTCAGCCCGTTTCTCACACAAAGATATCATTTTACCTTCAGAAGCATGAGTGAAAAAAATATGGAAAACCTTATTTCGTGTTCCATGTAAAAAAGCAAACAAAAGATAAAGGTTTTAAACAACAAGAGTAATTTTTGACATTATAGATTAGTGAGTAAAAGAATAACATAGCGATGGTATATTTAATTTGCCTGATGAGAGTCAAAGGATTGAGCCGTGCCACAAATATATCACCTTCTCATTTATCTCTGTCTCCAGTACACATCAAAGCTGAAATCCTAACCACGCCAGACAGCCCAACAAAGCCAGCAAATCTGATTTTTACGATCTCATGAGCAGCCGTCAAGAAATGTCATCTCACTCAAAAAAATAATCTGTTGATTATTTTTACGAAATTGAATTACATTTTTCCAACAAATTCAAATTAGTTTGAAATAATTTGTTGTAATCTTGTTGTATGAATTTAAATCAATTTAGTCATTCCTACTAGATAAAGTTCTGTCAAGTTAACTTCATTTAGTTTTGTCCTGCCTTAATTTACCATCATTATAATTTTAGTTAATTTGATTTTATGGTCACTTCTAATGATAGACACTTTTAAACTATATTTTACATAGTAATATTATATTACTTGTGCAGGACTGCGAGTGAGGTTTACACATACTGTAGTGCACACTGAGTACCCACAGCCTGAACAGGAGGTTAAA